ATCGAACTCATGCGGAAGCGGCTTAACATTCTCAGGGCTGTGCTTTAACCCGCTGCGCCACCAGGGAGGGCCGATTCTCAACTTTTAACCTATGGCCAACCTTGTTTCATTTATACCTGCCCTCGTTTCCATTAGATCATTTGTGCCAAAAAATATATATATGTATCATTTTGCCTGTAAGATTAAATATGTCCTAAACATATTTTTATAAATAGAATTTACATATTTACCTTTCAAAGAAGTCAATCTCTTTCAGAAAATTGCTGTTTTTTGTTCTAAAGTATGATTTGGAGTTCAGAAATTTGGTCAGTGCATATGTGTGATTAAATTAATGATGCAAGACCAAGCAGCTGGGCAGGGCCATTGGCCTCTCAAGATGATAATGGCTTCTCCATTTCCACTCCTCCCCCAAATCCAGAGGCCACATTATTTCTTCCAAATGGCTCTCAGACCTGGTTCCTCCTCCCCATTGCTGTTCCGACCTACGTTGTTTCTTCCCTGTCCACTGTGATAGCTTTGTAACTGGCTTCTCTGTTTCTAGTTTTACTATCTTGCCAACTTGTCCTCCACATGGCTACTGAGTGCTGTTTCTTTCGTTTTTTTTTTTTTATATCATCCTTCACTTTGTGCATTTTTCCATCTCAGTTGTAATCCCCATGGGCTTCCCACCACTCTTTCTCAACTACAGATATGACCATTTCTCTGACTTGCTTCAAATCCTTCACTGAGTTTTTCTTACCTTGGAGAGAAAAATCCTACTACTGAGCACAGTTCTCACTGTGGCTATATTCATGACCTCTTCCTGCCCCCAACTGCTGCCCTCCTTCCATAGTCCTGCTTTCATCCTTTACCCGTTACATCCTATTGATGTGCAATTTTCTGAACTGATCATGTTCCCCTAAGTGGTTCCTTGTTCCTATGGCCCTCCCCTTTCACTTATTCACCCCTCATGTCCATCCATCTGGCTGACTCCTATTCATTGTGCTTTGCCATCAATGAAAATAAGTTTAATTACATCCATTATAAATACCTACAAAGATGCAAAAAGTTATGGTCATTTTTTTCCAGGTGTTTGGATCCACTTGCAAGAAAGAAGAACTGAAATCGACATACAGTCCTAACAGGAAAAACTTCTGAAGTCCTTTGTAGGTTTGGTAAGTTGTACTTTCTTTTGTATTTGTCATTTGTTCATTTTAAGAATTGATTTTAATGCATGAATAGATATACACATGTTTGAGCAAAGAAAGCTATATTAAGCAGAGTCTATACTGAATGGCAAACCAGTAAGCTATGTTTCACACATCCTATAAGGTACCATTCAGGCACCACTCTGTAAGAAGCTTGCTAATACCTACGGCCTGGATCTGAGAGGCTCACTGTCCCTACTTTGTGCCTCTGCAGTACTTCTCATCTGTTTTGTGATGATGTTAAGGGGAAGAATGTCCAAAAGGAACTCTGCAGAGTCTTATGGACTCCACCCCCTACTCCAACTTTCTGGACTCTGACCCCTACTCCAATGATTGGAAACTACAATTCCCAGCAGTACCAGGGAAAGAACTACGAGGACCCAAGGGTGGAGCTAAGCAGGCATTCTGGGACATTTGGGGGATAAATAGGGCGCGATTGCATCTCTCGCTCTCTCACTCGGGAAATGGCTCTCTGAACGGCATGACTCTATGTTCAGTCAGCCTAGCCAGTAAGGAATTCCAGTTACTTTGCATCCCGCTCTCTTTCCCTGGGTTGTTTCCTATTCCTTTCCCCTTTTGTAAATAAACCTGTTACTGACCCTTTTGTGTGTAACTGCAGTGTAACTGAATATTGAGCGCAGGGGTGAGGCCCCACAGACAGGCGGCCCAGTCCACTCTGGGCTACTCTAACAATGAGACCTGTCTTTCTCCTCCTTTAGACAGGTAACTCCTATATCTTGGTTCCCTATATAGCGTCTACCATGCTCCAAACCGGTAATCATGTTTATGGCTTGCTTGAAAACAACAGCAATCAGTACTCTCAGAACCTGGTGAGAAGATACTGTTAGCTCCCAGAACCATCTGGAGAAACAAGAGCTAGGGTCAGACATGAAGCAGTAAGGAAAGGCCCTGCCTCACCCCACAGAACTGGAGCTGGGCGATCACTTTCACTTCCAGTGCTCACCACCCTCTGCCTCAGGCAGCCCCAGATGGCTCTGACTCACTGTTTTATATGTTGAGTTGTGACATAAGACATCCTTTGAAGAAAGAGACTCATATATTAAGAAAAAAGAACTGTAAGGAGGTTTCATGAGTTTGATGAGTAGTATTCATATTTATACTTGGATGTTTTGATAAATATCTATCTTTTTGATCTGTTTTGGTAGTTGAGGAGCTGTAAAGCTAATATTCCTTCCTTCCTTCACTCATTCATTCAATTATTAGTTCTTTTATCACATATTTACTACATGCCTTTCATCTTTCACAGAGATGCCAGTAAATAAATCACTATGTTTCTGAGAAATGAACTAGAATGGAGGTATAACCTCTGCTATGGATGAGTAAGCCAAGGCACGGAAAAGTTAAGGAGTTTGCTCATCTGAGGGCCTTCTGAACAGGGTCTTTCAGCTGTGCTGCTTCAGAATTGGAAATCCCATTAAACATTACAGAGCACCCAAGTAGCATGTGAACTAAGAAGAGATTTCTGAATTTGAATTGGTAGGCCACTGTTGGTAACCTTTGAGAAAAAGTTATCTGGGTAGGTGTGAATGGGAACCAGAACACAGAGGGTTAATTGGTAATGAAGAAATTGGGCCAGCAAGTATAAACCACTCTTTATAAGTATAAGCATTTGACCTTAAAGGACATGATTGACAGGAACAGTGACTTACAGGGAGAACAAAGAAGGTTTGGTGGGGCTAGAACTTGAGCTTCTAGGCTGAATCTATGGAGATAAAGAGCTTAAAACTAAAAGAAATGACAATTTCATATGGAGAAAACAATTCAGAAACATACATAAACACAAGAGTTTTAGAGCAGTCCTGTCTGTGTTCAAACTTGATGAAAAGTCACAATTATACTACTTCATAGATTTGGAAACTGAGATTCAGAATGACTGTTAACTATTAAGTCATTCTGAATCTGTTTCCAAATCTATGAGGTAGTGTACAGTCATTCTGAATCTGTTTCCAAATCTGTGACTCCTTGCATTAAGTTTATACAAAATGCTCTATACTCACTGAAAAGTAAGAGGTACTCCCTCCCTATCACACACCTGCAATTCTACTCCGAACCCCCAAATTTAGGATTGCCAGATGAAACACATGCAATATTTACAAAACAATTAGCCCTTATTTACCTGAAGTTTAAGTTTAATTGGATGTGCTTTTTTTTGTTTTTCCTAAATCTGGCAACCCTATCCAAAAATAAAATACCTCATACCCAATGAGCCATGATAAATTGAAGGCCAGAAGTAAGTGGTAACATGGTGGGTGCTGCTGCCTCCTACTGGTGGAATGTGGCAGCACCCTCCATCCCTGCAAACACCCATGCCCTACAGCGGGATTTCTTAAAAATAGCCAAGTCCCAAAAACATCTCCGTGGATGACAGGTGGCGCTTTTATTATCCTGCCAATACTTTAGGCCAGATTTATTACTACTGATATCCTATTCTCTTTTAGTTTTTGCCATGACCAATATATTTATTTTTAGCTGTGTGGCTTTCTACTTCCTGGACAGGGTTAGCGGAACATCACTGCAAGTTCAAAGTTTATACTTTCCTGTTAGAAAACAGAGTACATTTTGTATATGTTTAAGTTGTACCTTATGACTCACAAAGTCACCTGGAAGTCAGTCAGTACGTGCAAGTTCACTTTTCCTTACAGAAATGTGATGTGTTTTATATGTGTCTCAAACACTGGCACAGGCAGTAGTTGAAGCACTGGTTTGTAATCAGTGGTCAGTAAAATATTAGGTTATTTATTTATTTATGTTATTTTTGTAATATCATGAAAGTATTTTGTTACAGCAGAGAAACTTGGTGAAGGTGCCACATAAGTACCTTGTCATGGAAGGCCAAGGGAGACTTTCGAACGTATTCCCTGGCAGGAGTCAAGAAAATACAGACTGTCTCCCAAGCACCACTCTCCTGGATTTGTCAACTGAATGATCTGGGAAGCATTTCACTCGCCCTCTACAGTTTTCTGAAGCTCCTTGGGTGATCGGTGTTTTCCCTTTCTTCACCTGTTAGGCAGCAAATACAGACGCAGTTGACCGCACAAAGATTACTGCGCGTCCTTCAAGCAGTCCTGGTCTTACATGTTGTACTGACAAATTTCTCTCTTTTCCCAGCAGCACAATTCCTTCTACAAACTGAGAAGCTTGGGCAAGCTTTGAAAGAAATGCCACTGAGTTCCTCCCTCAGGCTTCTTTATGAGGAAAGGTCACGGCAGCTGTTAGTGTCAAGCACCTGGCCCAGCCACAAGGGTTCAGTTTTATTCCTGGTAAATATCGATACTTTCTTTTCTTTCTTTTTTTTTTTTTTTAAGATTTATTTATTTATTTGTACAGAACTGGGGTACAGGCCAGAGATGCGGAGGGTGAGAGGATTCACCAGAGACAGAGCGGGATACAGAACAGGCAGATCGACGAAGCACACCGCTGAGGGGAGCAGCGGGCGGGCCAGGAGAGGTCTGCCACGCCATGTGGTCTCCTCCGGGGCAGGCGGGGATCGAAATCATGCGGAAGTGGCCCAAGCTACTTTGTGCTGTGCTTTAACCCGCTGCGCCACCAGGGAGGGCCATATCGATACTTTCTTTTCTAAGCTGAGGATTCACAAGGGGATCAGTTGAGGATTGTCATTACTTTTTTGCTTGTCGAATTGCGATCATGCATCTTTCATACTATCTACAAATTCTTCTTTCTTCTTATAGTATCTCTAAACCTCTCACTTCAGAAATGGAATCGGAATCCAGGGTGGAAAAAAATGAGAAATTTCTGCAGAAGCTAGGCCTAAAGACTGTCAACACCTGTCTGGATCTGAATAACTGCAGATTAACCACAGCGCAAGTGCAGGAACTGGGTCTGTATGCTTCTGAATTGGCCAGAAGGAACCAAGGGCCCCTGGTTGAGATGCACTAGCGAAACTACCTTGGTTAGCCGAGGTGGGGTGGCCCCAGACAACTGAGGAAAGCAGCTGCACTACTATTTATAAAACCAAACAAATTAACTGATCCTCCACTTCTGAAGATTTGAGCTGAGTTTAAGAGAAATTTGTTTTCCTGAGAAATTTTACCTCATCGATTATTCCCTAAATATCATCTGTTGTCATCTGTGATATGAGTGTATGAAACTGATCCATGAAATGGAGCCATGATGGGCATTTCCAGTGCTCACCACCCTCTGCCTCAGGCAGCC